ATTCCCACCAACGGTGTAAGAGGGTTCCTTTTTCCCCACATCCTCGCCAACACCTGTTGTTCGTGGTGTTGCTAGTGATGGCTATTTTAACAGGGGTGAGGTGGAATCTTGGTGTGGTTTTAATTTGCATTTCCTTTATTGCTAGAGATGGTGAGCATTTTTTCATGTGTTTTTTGGCCATTTGAATTTCTTCTTTTGAGAAAGATCTGTTTAGTTCAGTTGCTTATTTCTAAAATTTAGTTTGCTTGTTAATGATTTTGCATCCATGCTTATCAGGGATATTGGCCTGTAGTTTTCCTTTATGGTAGTGTCCTTATCTGGCTTTGTAGTTAAGGAAATGTTGACCTTATAAATGAATATGGAGGTATTTCTTCCTCAGTTTTTGGAAGTACTTGTCTTTATTAATTTTTCTTTAAATGTTTGCAGAACGTAATTGTGAAGCCATTGGCTCCTTTGATGGGAGAATATCATTCTCCTTATTCATTAATGGTCTGTTTTTCATGAAAAAACAGAAAAATAAAATTTTGAAAGTTTATGTGTGTCTGGAAATTTATCCATTTCATCTTTTTCTTTTTAAATAGGATTCATTATGAGGTTCAGGCAATATGTCCCAGAGTGGTTTTTGCACATTACTACCACAGAGTATTTGCATTAAAGAAGTTTCTGTTTCCATATGGATTTGCCAAACACTGTTTATTAGTGTGCCCCTCATTTGGAGGATCTAAGAGTTCCCAAAATACAGTTTGGTAAATATTTGTCCAGAAGAGAATCAGATGTTCTTTCATTCACTTCTGCCCACCTGAACTTTTATTTATTCAGGCATATACATTCCTTTGCCATCTTACAGATTATTCTTAACACACCATCCAGAGAAATCTTTTAAAATTCAGATAGTGTTACTTTTCTATTCAAAAACTCCAGTGTGTCCTGAACTCATTCAGAATAAAAAGTCTTCAGTGACAGTCACCCTTTATGATCTACTATCCTGTGACATTTTTAGTTTCATATCATTCTATCTTGCTTTTGCTACTGCTATTCTTCAATCTTATTTCTACTCCTCAGTCACACCATGTATATTCTGAACTTGAAATATATGTTTTACTATTCTATCTGGAAAGATCTCCCAGATATTTACATAGAAAGATCATCTTGCTTCAATGTCAACTCAAAATAGCTGCCTCTGAGAACACAATTTCAAATTATATTCTCTACCCTTATCTGCCTTCCTTGTTTTACTTTTTGCCCCAAAGCACGTATTAGCTTCTAGTAGAACATATGTTTTACTTAATTGTTTATTATCTTTTTCCTCTCATTCTGTGACAGTAGGGATTTTTTTTTAATCTTCTGTATGGCTAACACCATGATTAGTATGCAGGAATTGCTCAGTAGTATTTGTTGAGTATATGAGTGAAGGTACTCATTTGCATGATTATCATTGTTCTTAAGGTCACAAGATTGCCTCAAGTTGTTTCACAAATCATATAGTCTTAGTATACAGGATCAATATTTATGCCTTAAGTAAGAATAGGATATATTAAATATCACTATCATCACTGTCTTCTAAGTGACGGCACCCATATTTATAATCAATAAAATTGTGATGTTTATAAAAAACGACTAGACTTTATTCATATTTACTGTTGTATCATTTAAAAAACATTTTAGAGCTATATTATGTTCATAGCAAAACTGAACTAAAGATAAAGGTTTCCCCATCATACATATTTTCCTATATTATCCGATCATCAACCAGAGTGTCATTTTGCTTTACAGATGATGAATATGCATTTTTACATTGTTACTACCTCAGAGTTCATGGCTCACATTAAGGTTTACTCATGGTGTTAAATATTCTGTAAGATTGGACAGATTTATAATGACATGTACTTACCTTTACAGTATCATAAAAATAGTTTCACTGTCCTAAAACTCCTATGTGTTCTGCATATGCATCCTTTTCTCCTCCCTACCTGAGGTAACCAACTGATCCTCTTCCCCTGTCTAGTTTTAAAGCCTTCTCTAGAGTGTCACATGGTTGGAACCATGCAGTATGTAGCCTTTCCAGATTGACTTCCTTTTTTTAGTAGTATGCATTTAAGAATTTTAAGACTCCTCCATGTCTTTCAACAGCTTTATTACTCATTTCTTTTCATCATCTGATAATTCATTGTGTGGATGTACCACATTTTATTTATCTATTCAGCTACTGAAGTGTATCTTGGTTGCATTTATGTTTCAGTAGTTATGAAAAAGCTGTTATAAACATTTGTGTTCAGGTGTTTATGTAGACATAAGTTTTCAACTCTTTGGGTGAATACTGAGGATTATGATTGCTAGATCATATGGTAAGAATATGTTTAGTTTTTAAAAAAAAAACTGCAGAACTGTCATCTGAAGTAGCCATATCATTTTAATTCCCACCAGCAGTGAGTGAGAGTTTGTTGCTTCATATTCTCATCTGCATTTGGTGGTATTAGTGTTCTGGATTTTGGGCATCCTGATAGGTATATAGTAGTAGTATTTCATTGTTTTAATTTACATTTCTGTGATATGTACTGTTGATCATCTTTTCATAACCTTACTTGCCATGTTAAAATATTTGGCTTATTTTCAAGCAGGTTGTTGGCTTTTTCTATTGTTGAATTTTAAGAGTTCTTTATATATTTTGGGTAACAGTCCTTATCAGATAAGTCTTTTGAAGATATTTTTTCCTAGACTTTGGTTTATCTTTTTATTCTCCTGACAATGTGTTTTTCAGAGCAGAAATGTTTAATTTTAATGAAGCACAGTTTATTAACTCTTTTTATGTGTTTAGTATTTATCTAAAAAGTCACTGCCAAAATCATGGTCATTTACATTTTCTGCTTTGTTACCTTCCAGGAGTTTATATTTACTGCATTTTTCATTTTGGTCTGTGATACATTTTTAGGTAATTGTTGTGAAGGGTCTATTTATAGATTGTTTTTCTTTTTATTGCACATGGTTGTCCAGTTGTTTCAGCATCATTTGTCGAAAAGACCCCCATCTTTTCTCCATTGTGTTGTCTTTACTTACTTCTTTGTCACAGATCAATGTACTGTATTTATGTGAATCCTTTTCAAAGCTCTTTATTCTGTTCCATTGTCCTGTATGTCTATTTTTTCACCAATACCATTCTATCTTGAATATTGTACCTTTAGTATGTGTTGAAGTCAAGTAATGTCAGTCCTATGAATTCGTTTTTTTGTTCCTCTTCAATATTGGGTTGGCTATTCTAGGGCTTTTGGCTAGCCATATATACTTTAGAATCAGTTTGTTGGCATCCACAAAGTAACTTTCTTTTAATTAAAATTGTATTGAATCTGTAGACAATGTGGGAAGAACTAACATCTTGGCAATATTGAGTCTATCCATGAACATGCAATTTCTCTCCATGTATTTAATTCTTTGACTTCTTTCATCAGTTTTGGAGGTTTCTTCATATAGATTGTATACGTATTTTGTTAGATTCATACCTAAGTGTTTCATTTTGGAGGGGTATTAATCAAACACCAGTTGTTTATTAACAGTATATAGGAAAATGATTGGATTTTGTATGTTAACCTGTACCCTGTAACCTTTATATAATAGTTTATTTTTTTCCACTGTTATATCTCCGTAAGTTTTGTGGACATCTGAAATGTTATTATAGAAAACTGTTGTGGTTATTTAACTAGTACAGGCTGAGTACTCCTTATCCACAATGCTTGGGACCAGAAATGTTTTGGATTTCAGATGTTTTTGGATTTTGGAATATTTTCATATCCATAATGAGAGTATATTGGAGATGGGATCCAAATCTAAACATGAAATTCATTTATGTTTCATGTACACTTTGTGTACCTAGACTCAAAGTAACTTCATAAAATACTTTACTGTTGTGTGCTTTGACTGTGACTTATCACATGAATTCAGGTATGGAATTATCCATTTGTGGCATCATGTTGGTGTTCAAAAAATTTCAGATCTTGGAGCATTTTGGATTTGGCATTGTTAGATTAAGGAAGCTCAGTCTTTAATATGTTATCCATAAGGGTCCCACCAAAGAATTCTTCCAATAAATGGAAGAAGAGAGAAGTGCCGGGGTATTGGTGATAAAAGTTTTCAACTAATTTAACAATTACAAAATTCCCTAAAGATCTAAAAATGCAAATATAATTCATAAAGGTCTCTGATTTTTTAAAAAGGTGCAGATAAATTGACATCACTTTTCAGTATATTTTCCAAAGGAATGAAACCAGATTGCACCAGATTTTCTGCTTGAGAGTTGGTTTCATATATCATGCTGATTAATCTAAAAATGCATATAATTTTTTACTGTATTATTCAAACATCTTGCTTTCTTAATTTTGTGTTTTAAAATACTAATTTATAGAAGTACAAATTATGTGAAATTATTAATTTTACTGGAGTTTTTTATTTATAAAGGAATCTACCATAGGATTAGTTTTAGTAGTGATTTATATTAGTGACTTCAAAATATATTCATAATGATTTTCAAAATTGCTATATATTTATGCTCTTACATAAGGAACACAGCTACTTCAGAAAGTGCAGTAGAAGTCCAAGAAGACTTCTCTTTATTTCTTCAGTATGATTGATTTTTTTAATATTTTTATTTCAATTAGGAATAAAGATATATGTTTTTATGACTAGGTGGCTAAATTAAGCAGTTTATTAACCCTTTAATCATATCATTGCATTTCCCATATTGTAAGGCTGCTTTTTCATCCTTATTAAGAATTTCTTTGAGAAGGCAATGCTATCTGGATTACAAGGAGAACATGTATAGAATGAAGGTGTCTAAAACTTTTTATCTTTTGTAAATGGAAGTTAGGATAATTGATGATTACATGATAAAATATGTGCTCTTAGCATATAGTCTTGCAAGTATTGGAAACTACTAGGAGAATTAACAATAATTAAATATTAAAGCCAAATAATATTCTCGTGAATTAAATTTAAAACTTTTTTCATTTTAGGAAACCATGAGTTTGATTTTGGTGTGGATATTTTGGAAGAATACATGAAACAAATGCACTTTACATGGTTTCTCAGTAATGTCTATGACAGATTTACTTCTGAACCTCTTGGACATGGTGCAGTAAAAAAAATAGTTAATTGGAACAATATAAAAATTGGCTTAATGGGATTAGTTGAAGAAGATTGGTTAGATACCCTGGCTACTGTTAATAAGTCAAATGTAGACTATAAAGATTATGTTGAGGTTGCCAATGAAATAGCAGTAGAACTTAAAGAAGAAGGAGCAGATCTTGTTATTGCAAGGACTCATATGAAATGGGGAAATGACACAAGGCTTGCACAATGAGCAGAAGGGGTCAATTTGATTCTAGGAGGCCATGACCATGAGTATGGAATCAGGAAGGTAAATGAAACTTGGATTGTCAAAAGTGGATCTGATTTTCAAAACTTGACAAAAATAAATATAAGACTCTTTGGTACATCTTTCCAATACATATTTGAGAAAGTGGACATTTTGAGTTATTTGGAAGAAGAGTCATATATCAAAGCAATAGTAAAAGATTTTACTCAAAACATACAGGTAGGTGAATATTGCATGTACTATTCAGCAAAGTACAGATTGAGTACATGAACTTTTTAGACAATCTGCAACATAGTACCATGCAATTAATGACTAACCAATACTATAAATGGTATCTTCAATCATAATAAAATAATGGTAGTTTTTGCTCTATTGGATTTTGATTTTCCTATTCCATTTACATTTTATTTTGACTTTATAAGAAACAGAAATTTATACCCACTTTAATGTTTAGACTTACTTTAACTGTCATTATGAACATATTTTCCTATGCTCAAATTCTTTAAGAACTTACTTTAATAAAAGAATTACTACTCAAATTTAAGAAGCACTGGATTAAGAAAAGAATAGGCAAATTTTACATAAGCTTGTAATGAAAAGGCATTCTTTGCTCCCTTCTTTTCTACTTAAAAACCTCAAACTTTTGAGTCGTTTACAAAGAAGTCATTTAAAAGTTTTATATAAATTGGAAGCCTTCAGGTTCATTTTTTTTTCAGGACCCCATACACACTGGACATACTTAATTCCTTAGGGATATTTGCAAGAGCAAAAGGGAATTATAAACCATGTTCTATTTATATTGTTTCATGTAACTTTTGGTACCTGAACTAGGTCTATGGGAATAGAACTCTCTGTATTGATATTGAATAAAGTATTAATGAATGGCGTTGTGTTTGGATCAGCTACTGGTATCAGGGATATTAGATGTTTTGATAACAGTTTTTGGCTCTAGAGTGTGTGGATATGGGCTCCTAAAATTTGTGATAACCTGGCTCTTTAAATGGCTCTGAAAAATAAATGATTGTTGGAATATGTAGTATTTTGACATTTGATATTTAGAGAGGAAGAGTTTAGTGAATTATTTGATTTTGAGTTGGAGGTAAAGAAGAAATGGTATATGTTAGAAGAAGTTCTGTGTCCAGTTGATATGGAATTAGATGGCCGTGAAATTACTGTAAGAAGATCTGAGAGCAATCTTGGAAATCTGGTAACTAATGCAATGTTGGAGGCTACTTGTGCTGATGTAGCACTGCTTAATTCAGGTGATTTTGTTGTTTAATTTGTTAAATTAAAATTAGCTTTTCAAAATTTATAGTAGATGTTTTTGTATATGCAAAATCCTATTGAGAAATCCACTTCCTTAATTTCATGAGATAGGCTCTTTATTTCTGTTATGTTTAAGTGTAGCATTTGGAATTAGACACTGTAGATTAATTTATTTGAAAATTAAGGCGATAGGTTTTCAAATTTTTGACTGTTGTTTTCAAATGAAGATGTGGCCACTTACCTGTTCTAAACTGGTGTGCTATCAAGCCTTGACTATATGAGAAGTAGAGGAATGAAATCTTTTACTTAAGTTCTTGCTCTTTTACTAATTTTTCTTTTGCACTGGTGCAATAGGAGGAAATAGTAAGAGAACTCTTATAGGGTGAATAGGAAATCTGTTCCTAATCTAACCATTTTTGCATGTTGATAGTCTGAAGTTGGCTTATCTAGGTGATAAGATACTAAGAATCTCTACAGAAAAGCTAAATCTAAGCCTTCTTTGAAACTGACTTTAATCCATATGCCATAATCTAGAGCTGTAAACACTAGCAAGATAGCCATAGTGACTAGAATGTGATTACTTCAAAATTTATAATGTAGCATAATTTAACATCTTAACATAAACTTCTTATAATGCCATTTTCACTGAAAACACAGTGATTTTAATCTTACACATGAATAATTTAGGACAGTTTGTAGAAACATTGCCTAAGAGTCAATTTGTTAAATTTTAGTTTTATTGACTTAAGAAGTCTTTGGAGTTGCTACCTGTGGAGATCTTTAAAACTCTATCTTTGCTTTGGAATGCTTTAGGCATGATCCCTGTCTGGAAGCAGGGGGAGTGGTAGTGGGCTTTTTAGTTGTAATGTTCCATAATTAAGTAGAAAATAGTTGTTATGAATACACTAGATATCGCCACAAGGTTTAGGTGGAAGTAAACATGAGGAAGGAATTGAAAAAATGAAAAACTTGTGTCATTGTGGTGTATAACTTTGAAGTTTTAAACATGACATTGAGACATAAAGGTGACTTTTGTTGGAAAAAACTAAATCAAAATGCATATTGTTTTTCTCTTAAATTACTGTAGGCACTCTTAGATCTGACAGAATACATCCGCCAGAGAATTTCACTTTGCATGATCTCTTGGCTATTCTTCCCATAGTGGACCCAGTTTTAGTTGTTAGAGTAACAGGTGCACAGCTGCTTGAAGCACTTGAAAATGGGGTTTATAAGTACCCAGCTCTAGATGGGAGGTATGTATATACATTTCTACTAATTGATATACTTTAATTATTTTTATATAATCGATCTGAAAGAAAACTGAATTTAAATATAACTTAATTTTTTTTAAAAATTCAAATTTATAATGCTTTAAAGTGGAACGATTTAAGTGTAATGTGAAAAAAATCTCAAATTCTTATTTTTACCAAATAACATGAGATTGGCAAAGTATTAGTATATAAAAATTATATTTGCTATTAAAATTAGGGTTATTTTTAGTTTTATATGGGTGCCTTAAATGCCAGTATTTAAGTATTTGCAATTCTTTTTTTTTAACTTTTCTTATTTGAGAAATAAGGTGCTACTTTGTTGGCAGGATTTTATACCCAAATCTCACTATAGAATTCTTAGGTAAATGAGACTAACATTGTAAACTTAAAAGCTTGGGGTACTTCTCTCTTTCCTTTAAGCCATATAATAAGATGAGTGTCAGGCTAGCAGCTAAATAGTACAACCTACAATATCATTATATTGTGTTATTATAATATATCATTTTTTAAAAGTGTGTGTGTGTGTGTGTGTGTTTTGATGGTGAGTTGCTGACAGGCACCACCTCTCTGTGTCTCCATGAATCTGAAATAAAATCTCAGGTATGAGGCTGCAAGAAAGGTGGGCAAGTTAGTATGCTAAAAACAAACAAAAAAAACCCACTGGGCATCAGGGTAAGGACAGGAATTAGCTAGAAAAACTGATCCCTAACTAAATCTCTAAAAGCACAAATCTTCCATGGGCTCATAGGTATATACCTGGACTTGTTCTATCCCACATCCCTCCCAGCCCAGTTTTTTTTTTTTAACTCTCTAGACTTGAATTAATTCCCATAAGAGCTACTTGTGATGGCCACCCTGTGAACAAAACAACCAAATGGAGTGCTAAGAGCAGGTTGGCAAGGCTTGCCTGTGTCACTGAACAAAAGCTGACCAACATCTGTGCCCCACTGCCAGGGTAGAAAGGCTAGCATGGAAACCAACCAGAGAGGCCAATTGGTTTCAGTCCTGAGGGCCACTGTACAGGCCAGCTCCTTAAGTCAAATAAAACATACAGTTGAAAGCCTCTGGAGAAGACTAAACCAAGGGGGCTGGCAGAGTGGCTCAAGAATTAGAGTGCCTGTCTAGCAAGCCTGAGTTCAAACCCCAGTACCACTTAAAAAAAAAAAAAAGACTGGATAAAGTGAAAGGCATAATAATATCAGGACTTGAAGACAGCATAATGAAACTTACCAAACACCGTATACAAAAGAGGGAGGAGAGGAGGAGAATGGGAATATAAAGGAGAGGGTGAACTTGTTCAAAGTACACTGTATACATGTATGGAATTACCACAATACATACATCCCCTCATTTATGTATACTAATTCAAAATATAAAACTGTTAAAAATAACTAAAAATACACATGTGCAAGTTAATAGGAAGTGCTGATAAGGACACACGTCAAAACTCTTGTAGGTGCTGTATCTCTTAGGGCTCAGAAATTCTATTCCTCATACCTGACAGTTAAAACTGGAAACAACCTGAATGTCAACAGTGAAAAAGGATTTAAATTTTTTTTCAAAGTCGAGCATGGTGGCTTACACCTATACTATAATCCTAGCTACTCAAGCAGTAGAGATTGGGATGATCTCAGTACAAAACCAATTCAGGGAAAAAAAATGTTAGTGAGATTTCATCTGAACCAATAAAAAGCCGGGGAGGGGATATGCATGCCTGTCATCCTAACTATATGGGAGTGTAAATAGGAAGATCATGGTCCAGGCATAAATACTAGACCCTATTTGAAAAATAATGAAAGCAAAAAGGGCTGGGTAGAGTGGTAGAGTTCTTGTCTAGCAAATGCAAGGTCCTGAGATCAAACCCCAGTAACCCCCAAAAGTGGTTCATTTTTATTGACTTACATGGTTCTTTTTATCTTCTAGATAATTATCTTATTAGAGATATGATTTGCAAACATTTTCTCCCATTTTGTGGTTTTCTATTTTACTCTGTTGATGGTAAAGCACAAAAGTGTTTGATTTTTGAAACTTTTTCAATCTTGTACACAGTAAGGCACCTCATAGCTTGCTAACTGCTTTTACAGGATAGTATAATTAATAATATTTTGACCATTTTGCTAGAGTAAAGGCTAAGGGGGGAGTCATAGGAGGGGCCAGATGGAATTTTTAGAGTCAAAACTAAAAAATATTTTAAAATTATACTCGTTCAGACTTCATCTTGATTTGAATGAATTTTCACCAGATATTAAGATGTTATTTTGCTTAAGATGGTATTTGGAAGAGCTATAGTAATGAAGAGATAATGTCATATATATTGAACTAGGAAGTTCCTTCCTGTCAGAGTGGCTAATGGATGTTTTAGGAATAAAACTGATCTAAAAAAGCTGGCATATGCTGTTGTTTGTCTGGAGGTGGACTCTCTGAAATTGGCATCATTCTGTCTGCCAGGTGGGAGGCTGAGTCAAATGCCAAAATGAACCCAGCTTTTCTCAGTGAATAGCTATTGAGCAAGTATTTTGCATTTTCCTGTCTCAGGTAATAAGTAATTATGAAGATATAGTGTACATGAATTTTTGTACCCTTCAGTTGTTAGTTACTAATGTATTTTCAGTAAAATCCTCAGTGCTTCAGACCCTGAATCTGTTACTAGGAAAAGCCAGTCATTGTATTTAGCATAAAACTGAACAGATAGACCACAGGCCAGGTCTAAGACTGACCACAGGGTGGCACACATGCAGGAAGGAAACAAACCACTGCAAGACTGGAGATGTAACTGACATTGAAACCCTAGCCTGCAGAGGAGGCTTTTTCAGAATTATTCAAGAGTACACTTTTAAATTTCAGATTTCCTCAAGTTGCTGGAATAGAATTTGGATTTGATCCAGATGCAGAACCAGGACACCGAATCATAAGAGATACTGTAAAAGTTCAAGGACAATACTTACGAAAAAGAAAAGTTTACCTTCTTGCTATTAAGGAGTACATTGCAAATGTGAGATTGCTGTATCTTGAAAACATTTTAAACAAGGCCATTGTCTGTGTTAAAACATTTATTCATGTCATGAGCATAGACACATTTAATTTTCTCTTGATGACTTCAGACCCTTGTAGTTTAAGTGTTTTTCATTATATTTTTATGATTTATGAATTAACTTATTTTACCTTATTTAGGCAGATATGATTTCATTGTTTTCTACTATCAGATTTAAAAATGCAGAACATCTAAAATTCATTCTTATCAATGCTATTCTCTAAATGATTGGCAAATATAGTCAGAAATGGCTGAATGAAAAAAATGCCATAATGGGTTGCTGTAATTTTAAATTTAGTGATAAACACTTCTCACTCATTTAATGTTCTTATTTAAAATATATTTTAAGTATTTATGTCATAATTAGTTATGTAGAATAAAACTTTGGTGACCTTTAAGGACTTCACAGTTCCATTCAGTGTTGGGTGGTGACAGGAAGCTTATAAGTACAGATTCCACTGTTCAAATGCTGAGAGCCATTAGGTTTCAGATGAGGTTCAGTAATATATTCCAAACAGACCTCTTAGTGGACTCTGTTTCACAGACATGTTGGCCCATTCTTAAGGTTGCCAGGTAGCAGAGCTAGAGACAGGAGGCTTCAAGGCGACCATGTCCAGATCCAGGGACTGGGAGAGAAATTTAAAGTGTGGTGGTTTTACAGATAAATGTGTGTCTTTTTGTACATGTGCATGAAATTCATGTCAGTGCCAACAGTAAATTTAAACATGTATTTTGATTTATTCATATTTCTGGATTAGAAACTTGAGATATGTTTTGATATTTCAGGGGAAGGATGGTTATAGTATGCTTAAAAGTTGTCCTCGAATGTTTGACACAGAAACCGCACAAGTACTTTCTACAGTAGTGATGAATCACTTTGAATCAATAAAAATTTTGCAGGGCAAGAAAAAGTGCCTTTCAGGTCATCGAATGAGTTTAATTACTATTACAAACAAATCACCATCCCTAACAGGTAATAATATAGTTTCATTTTATTTGAAGTGCTTTTTTGAATAATTTTTATTAAATTATGGGCATTGAATGAATAGTGCTTGGCATTCTGTTTTCCTATTTGTTTGAGGAAATATGAATAAGATAAAGTCTGAGCTCCATTTGCTAATGTAAGAAGCTAGATCTAAGGGAAATAAATTCAATCCAAAAAGCACAAAGAATTTCTAGGAAATTACATATTTTTCAATTCTTCTACTTTACAATCTTATCTCAGTGACTTATTTTTTTCTTGTCAATTCTATATGAAACATTTTAACTAGTCAAATTGGCTTACTTACACTCTGCAAAATATTTTGTCTTTTCCTACTTGATAAACTATGCTTTGACATATAGAACTCATTTTATTTATTTCATTTAGTTTCATTCTTTTTAAAAAGTCACTGTTTTTAACAGTAATTCAAGATCAGATTAGACTAATTCATAATGGGTTTCAATAATTGGTTAATTGTTTGAAAAAATAATTGTCTTTTTAAGTACATCCAATTTCTGAAAGTTATAATTTTGGAAGTAAAATGTATCATCTTTTATATTTTAATATAAGAAAGTATAGTTTTAATGTAATGACTATATTTCATGTCCGTTTGTTTTTCAAACATGAAATGAGAAGATAGAATATAAAATGTCATAAAGTACATAATCAAAATCTTCATTTAAATAAAGCAATTTATATGTATATTATCCTGATAGTCCTCTTTGAATTGTAGTAATAGTTTGAAAGCATTAAAAATTAGCACATAAAGATTGTATGGAGCATCATATGGTGCTTCCATATATGTCTATATTGTATAATGTTCAAATCATAGTCTGTATATCTATATCATTTTTTGAATGAAAATCTTTTAAGTAAAATGAATTGATGTCCTTTTGAGTGTGTATAAACTTGGTAATTTCTCCAATGAAATTTTACTCATGATTGAATAGTTCCTTGTTGTAAATGGAGAAATTCTGGTTGAAATTTTATCATTGATGTGAATTTTAATTTATGTATTCTAATAAACCTTTAAATATAATTTTAGAATATTTATTTTTAGGAGCATTATATATTTTAATGGTTCTATTGCATTTACAGCTTTAGAGGAAGAATCAGGTGACCCATCAGCAGTAATCGCAGTACCTGGCATAGAAGGACGAATTTGCCATATTTCTCAGGATATGAAAGAACATTTGCACCAACTTAGAACTGCAAGAAAACAAGGTTTAAGAAATTTCCCCACCATTAGTGGTAGTGCAGCTGAGAATTCTGATTCTGATTGAAATATAATAGAGGTTGTATGTTTTATTAGTCACCACCAAAGCGAATCTGGCCAATTAACATACAAATTTAACATCGTTAAGCATAGCAATTTTTATTATTTCTTACTGTTCTAGAGTTGATGTTAATGCTAGTGATGCTGCTTTAAATATTCTTTTCATTTGATTCTTATCAAGCCGTGTAACTTTTGACTTTTCAGTGTGTTATGCAGAAAACAATAATATGTATACTTATGAACATGTTTGTAATTTAAATGTATACATTGTATAATGTTTCCAGATTAAACGACTTCTGTGCTTAACTTTTCAAGTATTTATTTATATATTATCCTTCTTCTCTTAATCTGCTTCAATTTTTCTCAATGAAATATATTCTTTTCCTTCTATTGCTGGTTTAAATCCACTTTATTTCAGTACTATGGATTCAGATTTGATTCAGAATAAGGCAAATGTATCTAACACTGATCATTAGTATTCTTTATAACTTTGATGAAGTTGTTAGATATAGCAATGGATAATAAATACCTTCTTTTTTGAAGTCTTGAGTGTTTCATCTTAATGAAATAGAAAACAGACTTTTATGCACTTTGCTTACTTGCTATTATCATTTCAACTAAAGCAATCTTTTAAAAAAAATTAAATTATCATATTGTTGTACTGGGGGTACATTATGACATTTACAAAAGTTCTTATAATATGTCATAGTTGAATTCACCCCCTCCATCATTCTCCTTTATCTCCCCTCAACCCCCCCGTTCCTGGAATAGTTTCAACAGATCTCATTTAAAGCAGTTTTTCTTACCAGAAAAAATGAGAGGGAACAATGTAATATTTATCAGTAAACTATGATTTAAAAATTTACTTCACAATTACTTAAAACCAGATTGAACCAAGTTCACAACGGACTTGCAACTGGTTAATTATTAAATATACCTCATCTCTGCTAGTTCTTTGTGATTTTTTAAAGTAAAACGTACTACCCTTTAAGTCTTATTGCCTTTTCTCAGTTAAAAACTGTGTATTGTCATAATTAGGGCAAAAGGACATTTCTATTTTAGGAAAGCCACATATGCTTTTTCCTAATTTGTAGGAAGAAGACACACTCAGTCGGTTTCTGTGTTAGTGAAGAGCAATAAGCACGTAGTTGTGTACAGTGACTTAGTTAATGTGGGTGGAGCTTTACCTGGTAGAGGAAACACTAGTGGTGCACTTTTCATTTAATTACCCTCTACCTTTTTTTTCTTTTTTCAGTACTGGGCTTTGAATTCAGGGCCTCATGCTTGCTAGGCAGGCACTCTGCCACTTGAGCAATGCCCCCCCAGTCCTTTTTGCTTTAGTTATTTTTCAGGTAGGGTCATGTATTTTGCCCAGGACCAGACTCAAACAGCAATCCTTCTACTTATGGTTTCCAGGATAGCTGGGATTCTAGACATAAATCACAATGCCTGGCTTGTTGGTTGTGGTGGGGTCTTGGTAACTTTTTGCCTGTGTTGGTATGGAACTGTGATCCTCACAATCTTCACCTCACCAAAGCCGGATTACAAGTGTGTACTACAGGCTCATCTCTACTTTTAGCCTTTTGTTAGCCACATGCAGAAATGGATTTACTGACACAATATAGACTGACAATCTCTGCTGAGTCTTTTGACAACAGAAAACAGGAAAAGAAAAGTTTGCTCCCAAAAGTACTTTTAGCTTTCATTTAAATTGGAAGGAGTATACAGCCATCCAGGACATAAGAACTGTTCTGACATCCTTAGGATATGTAGTTGGTATTTTAACTGGGATTTAGATCCTGGTCAGAGCTTGAATTGAGCATCATTTATTAAAAGAGAAAGTGGACATTCATTCATTCAGTGAATTTTTTGGGACATGTTCTGTTTTATTTGTAGAATACAGGAATGAATGAGGGGACCGTGTAGGTACATGCTACTGTTCAGTTTTATTATCTATAATAGTATTTTACATGAAAGTACTTTGTAGAGAGAAATGTAGTCAAGGAAGTTAAAACTATAAACAGCATAAACTCTGTAACAAAACAGACGAGAGCATTAGCAAGGATAAAAAAAGTTTCTAAAAGGCATATGACTTTACAATAACTTACTGTTAGCTTTAATAAGTTACTGGTATTCTGAACAAAGTCCTTATTTTTATGGATAAAATAATTTTATGTGGGAAAGATGGCAGATGTAAAATGGCTTTTCAAATTGTGTAAATCAACATAGGAATTTCAGAGTTAAACTGTTCATTCAGAAAAGTAGCAAGTAGGATACTTTAGAAAGTGTCTATTAATTTAAGTCCATATTAATTCAGATGGCTGAATATGAATTTATAACTTTATTTGGAAATATTTATAGTGAAAATATATAGTGCAAAGGATGTTTAGTAGCTTAAAATTCTTCAGAGAATATTTTATGATAGCTTCTGAAGCTATTCATATGGCATACTTATTATAATTTTTTATTCTTAAAGCAGACTCTGCTAGCTGGAACCGCTTAAAGTTTTCCTTCAATTATCCTGAATTAATGAGATTTATTGCAGTTTTTACTTTTCATAACCTTGCAATGTATACTGTACTTCAAGTTTTTTTTCTTCTGTTAACCTACTTACCACTTTTGATCAGCCCTCAATTTAGTTTTAAATTTTATTTTACTTACTCTTGATGTCTATTGGTGGGGGGCTTCCTATTGGAAGCAGGGGTGTGTTGTTATTCTTTAGATTGTCAGTTTTTTATAGAAATGAAAAGGTCTCTGTGTTAACTTAGTTATGCAGATGTACTGAAAAAGTTTTAATATCCCCAAAGGTACAAATGTTGTACAAATAGGAGGTGATAGGGATCATTACTTTTCAAACTTTAGCACATGTTAGAATTAACACAGAATTTTTAAAGAACTCCCATTCCAATACCAATTAAGTAGGAATATTTGGAGGTAGAACCAAATATTGTGGAATCAAAAAAATGGCAGGCATTAGTGTTTTTAAGAACTTGAACTAACCCTAGTGATTTTACTATGGAGCAAAATTTGAGAACCAGTAATCTAGATCTGGGTTGGCAACTATGACCAGTGGGCCAAATCCAGCCAGTGACTTGTTTTTACAGCAAAGAAGAAAGCTTTAAAGGTGAAAGTGTGGATCAGATAAAAAGACTATGCATCAATTACTGTATTTGGCCCACAAAACCTAACATATTTACTATCTAGACCTTTCCAAAGGTTTTTTTTGGCCTGTGATTTGGATTATTGTGTGTTCTCAGGCCAGCAGCATTGGTACCACTTGAGAGATTTTAAAAACTGCAGAATTTCAGATCCTATGCCAAACTTACTGAATCAGATCTGCATTTGAGTAAGATCCCTAGATGGTTCACATAGACATGAAAATGCAAGCACTGATAAGATTATATTGTTAAATGTTAAACTCCCTCATACTCCCCTTTATTAACATAGATATCTTCATTCTTTTGGGCTGCTGTAAAAAATGCTTACATTGAGTAGCTTATAAGCAGAAACTTACTTTATAGACTGGGAAATCCAAGATCAAGATGCCAGCAGATTTGATGTCTGGCGAGGGCTTGCTCACTTCTTGTTTGTAGGATACATGTGCTTTCTTGCTGCTGCATTGGTGTTGCTGCATCCTCACATGGTGGAAGGAGCAAATAAGCCCATGTCCCTCTTTAATAAGAACACCAATCCCATTCATGGGTGCTTTGTCTTCCCAAAGTCCCCACCTCTTAATACTACACTTCTTAATACGTTGGGGATTTTGCAGAGACATGTTCAATCCATAGAACTAGGTAATTAAGATGGTCTACACAGTTAAACACATTATTTGATTTTACAGTCCTTTTACCAAGGATTATTTTGTATTTCTTAACCCCCCACACACTGTTTTTTCAGAGTGATAGATTAAAAACTGCTGCAAAGCCTTTGCTACCTGTCCCATCAAGAATTTCATCCCCCTTTCATTGAATATAGATTGTTTTTAGTAATTTTCTTTATCAATAGAAAGCAGCAGAAAACATTCCAGGACTTCTGAGGCTGGTCATATGAAATTTCACAGCTTCTGTTTAGGTTTCATGGAAGCTTTGAGAGTCCTGAGCCACCATGCAAAATGTCTGACAACCTGAGACTGCCATGTTACAGAGGTCACATGTTAGGTGCTCTGTTTGACCATCCCTGCTAAGACACCTGTCATCTGGGTGAGGGTGTCTTAGACCCTCCAGATCAGTCCATCTGCCAGCAGAATACTGCCATATGATTTCTGAATCATCCAACTGAGGTCTGATCCTCTGTCCCACAAACTTGTGAGATAGAACAAAAAATTTTTTAAGCCCATTAAATTTGGAGTATTTTGTTGCTCAGCAACAGATAACCAAACCACCTGCATAAAACATTCAAATACTTTCATGGTACTGGAAAAATAATTATTACAGGTTATGGTATAAATGTGGGTTTATCATAGTTTTAAGATTGGTCATTTTGTTATCAGTAGCACAAGAGTGCCATTAGTTGAGCATACCATGTGTGATGCCTTTGTGGCATGTCATTTTGGCTAGGCTGAACTACATTTTCAACAATTTCTTAACTAGTATGTTTTTGGCTGAGGGAGCTAGAAGAAACATTCTCTCACAAGAGGTGGAGGATGGAAGGTCAGTACCAGCTGTTAGTATACATGCACTTTGTCCTAATTATTCAACCACTAATTTACCTTGTGCTGGGAAGAGGTTTTGCAGGTGTAATTAAAGTCTCCAATCAGCCAGGGAGATTACCCTGGCTGGCCCTGACTTAATCAATTGAAAGTCCTTAAAAGAGTACTTCGATCTTCCCTGGAAAGAGAAATAAAAACTGCCTGTGGGCAACAGTTACTGTGTTTCTGGGGCTTGTGATCTTTCCTTTCTGCCTGCCTCTGCCTACTTCTGCACTCTGGATTTACTTAAGCAGCCTCCAAAACTGTAATCCAATTCTGTGTTATGTGTACGTGCACATACATATGCTTATATTCACAGA